ACATTAAAACTGAACAATAAAACGGCAATAAAACTGAACAATAAAACGGCAATAAAACTGAACAATAAAACGACAATAAAACTGAACAATAAAACGGCAATAAAACTGAACAAATAAAACGACAATAAAACACTGAACAAAATGATAAAACACTGAACACAAAGATAAAACACTGAATAATAAAATCAACACATTGAACGGTAAAATAATTTAAAAGAAAGCACTGGTAAAATCACATAAAATAAATAAAACCATAAATGGACTGGCACCGAGATCATTAGGTCACTTCGCCGAACAAATAACTTAGCAAACTTCTCTCACCTCCTATAGTCAGGTACGTCCACAACCACTTATCTTTAGGAAAAAGGGGAATGGTCGTTCCGGGGTTCCCTCACTAGCAGTCAGAGTCACGACCAACCCTCGAATCCCCTGAGTTTGTCTGTTTGACCTCCCACGTCAGTTCCTACGCGGGAGTAAGCTAAAATCAGGGTTTTCCTCTGATACTAAATTAATAAAATTCATGTTAAAATCCAATAAGACTATAAAAAGGAAATACTTCTAGAATAGCACTTGATAAAAATATAATTAACTAATGAAATCGAAATAAAAACTTTACGTTAAAAGAACCATCGTATCAGTTATGGCCATATGTAAAATCTGATGAACTAAAAGTAGAAAATAAAAGTAATTAAAAGCAACCCATTAAGATGATGAGAAATAAAATAAGACTAAACAAATAAAATGAATTGGGTTCTCTTTCATTATTAAAATTGAAATAAAATAATAAATATGTTTAAATAAAGCCTACTGAGGGTTAAAATCCATCTGAGGTCGTGATGTAGGAGGTGAGAAAGGTGCCATGAAAAATCATACAAAATAAGGTTTATTAAAATAATAATAAAAGGTGCTGGTGTGGCAACGCCGCGCGCGAGCATCCTCCTCGCTGGCAGGGATAAACAGTTCGTTCTTTAGGCTTCGGCGAAGGATGGACGGCCGAAGTCCGTGGCTTCTCAAAGAGGGGATGCAAGGGAGATGATGCCAATTTTCAATAGTCTCCCCAATTGTTCCATGCAGAAATACAAGGCAAAATGTCGCCACCTCGCGGCCAGTGGAGTGTTGCCACCCCGGGTTCACCTATTTTTCAGTACCACGCCTGTGGGAGAGGTTAAAAATGAGAGAAGATTTGGGGGTTTTGGTATTTCCTGGAGTGAGACGACGTATTGAGCGACGTCGTCCACTACACGAGCACCGGGGTTCAGGCCTCATTGGGGCATATTTTTATGACAAAAATAATATATATACACATATATGTGTGTGTGTGTGTGTATAGTATATATATATATATATATATATATATATATATATATATATATATATATATATATATATATATATATATATATATATATATATATATATATATATATATATATATATATATATATATATATATATATATATATATATATATATATATATATATATATATATATATATATATATATATATATATATATATATATATATATATTATATATATATATATATATATATATATATATATATATATATATATATATATATATATATATATATATATATATATATATATATATATATATATATATATATATATATATATATATATATATATATATATATATATATATATATATATATATATATATATATATATATATATGTATATATATATATATATATATATATATATATATATATATATATATATATATATATATATATATATATATATATATATATATATATATATATATATATATATATATATATATATATATATATATATATATATATATATATATATATATGTATATATATATATATATATATATATATATATATATATATATATATATATATATATATATATATATATATATATATATCTATGTATATATATGCACATAAATATTGCAAATATATATATATGTATGTGTGTATGAATGTATGTATATTATATATACATATATATATATATATATATATATATATATATATATATATATATATATATATATATATATATATATATATATATATACACATCTATGTGTGTGTGTGTGTATACATACACATACACACACACACACACAGTTTCCTTACTTTGAGTTCCGAAGACAGGGAGCTGCACACCTGATCCCCAGGACCTCATCAATGCTCTTATAAGCCGCTGCTCTGCCTCCTCAAGGCACCCTGTCCTCCTCAAGGCAAAAGGGACATACGGACGTGACCTTGTCCGAAGGCTGAAATTCCCGAAAAGGGATGAAATCTTTGTTCTGGGATTCCTCGCGGATGCCAAAGCAACGGGACGGCGCCAGCAGATTTGTTGTTTCAAGATCAGCTGTTTGTTTAATCCAGGAGCTCGATGACGAAGTCGAAGCCAAGGCCTTGCAGCGGGTCGGGAACTGACGTCTCTGATTGGGTTTGCACACATGATTAGCATTATCCTTCAAGGTTCGGTCGATGGGTTAGGCGTCATCCCAAGCAGGATAAAGGTCAGGGGTCAAGATTTCAAGGGGGGGGGGGGGGAGCAGAAGGAGTAGGGGCGCAAAGGGAACATATAAGCCCTTCGGTCCTCAAGATTCGGCAGTCCAGGAGCTCACGAAGACCACGGTAAGAAGCCTGGGAAATCTGAGACCCATTGCCATGTGTCAGCTGTGGCGTTGGAGTCATCTGCCTTTGTTTTGTTATACATTTTGCTTTTCAGTCAATTCCGCTCGCGCGCTGATGTGCGTGATTTGATTAACATCGAAATTCAATTTACATCATCTAAGAAAAAATGCTGAGCTAACATGTAAAACGACAGGCATCGGGAAGTTTCATTCATAACTGCTTTTACGTTCGACGATGACATAATGACATTATATCAGTATTATAGTAATTGAAACAGTACTGAAATAGATGATAATAATGATGGTGATGATGAGAACAGTAGCAGTTATGGTACAAATAGTAACAATTATAGCAGTTATAGTAGTGGTAGCAGTAATAATAATAATAATAATAATAATAGTAACAGTAATGATGATAAGAACAATAATAGCAGTAATTAGATATAATGAAAATACTATTGACTAAATTCTTGATAAATTAATTGATTAATAACAATAAATGCTTCCCGAAAAGGCCAAGCTCCTCAGGGTCCTTCTCCCTCGACGCTCCCTTCAGATGCGGTTCCTCGCCCTCGTCCTCCTCCTGGCTCTCGCCGTCGCCTTCGTCGGCGCCAAGTCTTGGCCTGCTGTGGCGGCGGAGGTCACCACGGCGGTCACGGAGGAGGCAACGGAGGTCACCATGGAGGTCATGGCGGTGGAGGCTTCGGCGGAGGCTTCGGAGGCGGTGGAGGACTGGGAGGTGAGTACTCCGAGGGAGATGGCGTGTGGAAGACTCCCTGACGGCCCGCTTCATCCGGCGGAAGCACTCCCTCCTTTCTCCTCCTCATAGCGGTTCCTCTGGCGCTGGCCTGCAGCCTTCTTCTCTGGCTTGCATTTGCAATATTTTTGCAATCATCGGCATTGGTTATGATTGACATGTATGGAGTGGAATTTCCTTCTACGTGTTAGTTTACCTGATATATATATATATATATATATATATATATATATATATATATATATATATATATATACATATATATATATATATATATATATATATATATATATATATATATATATATATATATATATGTGTGTGTGTGTGTGTGTGTGTGTGTGTGTGTGTGTGTGTGTGTGTGTGTGTGTGTGTGTGTGTGTGTGTGTGTGTGTACTCGCACGTCTTTGTTTGATTTGATTATTGTGTCCGTTAGAGAGAGGAAAAAGTCTTGCATAACCCGCAAAGACCACATGCAGACTGCACGCTGAAAATCATATTTATTTATTATTTTTTCCCCAAAACGCATTATTATATAAAGGGAAAAAACTATCTAACGAACTAAAATGAAAACATCTAATGAAACACTAAAATACACATTTGTAATAATAAAAATAAATATATATTCGCAGAAATTCTCATCTTCACGCTGCATTGTTGAAAATATTTTACATTTTACGAGAAATTGACATTTTTTTCAGGCGGAGGAGGCTTTGGCGGAGGCTTCGGAGGCTGTGAGTAGAGTAGGAAACCATTAGTTGTAATCATTACGGTTTGTTATTATCAATATAATCAATTATGCCATTATGGTTGATAGTGATATTATTATCTATTCTTGCTGTTGTTGTTATTCCTAGTAATGGAATGTCACTTTTGTTTATGTTTTCTCTGTTGTCGTTAATCCATGATCACAGCTCGTTTTTTCAGGAAACTTCAGAGGAAACAGTGACGAGGAACACGTGACCAACATGTCGTGCTTGCAGTGGTTTTCCTGAATTTTCCCTCTAATGGTCTTTCTCCGATATATATATATATTATATATATATATATATATATATCACTTCAAATAAATCAAATAAACTCATGTGTTTTTAATCTTATTTCATATTGCATGAAAGTGGAATTTGGAATTAAATTAATCCGAACAACGGTTGATCAACAATTGGGGAAGATGCACGTCAACAATGCACTCGTTGCCAGATGTACGGAAATAAAGTAATAATTGCCACAAGCACCACAATAATTCAGATGATTTTCTTAAAAAATGAACACCATTTTTCGTGAATTACATTGTGCTATTAACACGTCGCGACAGGAGCCCCGCCCAGTACGAGAGGAACGGTGGGGGGGGGGCGAGTGGTGGTTCGGTGACCCCCTCCATT